TGGCGGTTCAAGCTCACCAGCTGCTACTCGGAAACCCCATCCAGGGTTACTATGGGTCGGAACCGACTTGATGGTACTTAGCAACAACAATCCCCAAGTCAGAAGGCTGCCCTGGGATCTCCTCAGGCCTGGGATTTTCAAATAAAGATTTCCTACTTGTTTTGGTTTGCTTCCCTATAAGACAGGTAAAGACACGAAGACCTACCTAATACCTTGATTAAAGGAGGCTTCACTGACACTAGTCAATTTTTTTTTTTTCCTTTTTCTTTCTGGACACACTGGAAGATTCCCATCTTCTCTTCCAAAACAAAACATCATAAAAATACTCATGATGGTTGAGAATATACCTTTTTTCTTAAAATCAGGAGAAGGGTGACTGATGTAGAATGGAAGGAAACGAGGGCAACACATTAGAACCCAGAAATCATAGGGGCTTTGTCAGATATAACAACTTTAGCAAAGAAAACAAATTCAAGTCAAGAATTGGGAAATTGATTCCTTTAGAGTTAACTTGCATGCCCTAGTTTGAAGAGCACTGGTTCAGTGTGAATAGAGTTCATAATAAGAGAATGAAGTCATCAAGGGCAATCTTCTGTTAAACAGCAGGATGAGACCCACAGACCGAGCCACTGCAGAAATGATCAGACAATATAAATGCAAATGTCTAAAATGCTTCAAGAAATTAATGTTTAAAAATAATCACTACTTCAACAAGAGACTATTAGAAATGGCAAGACCAATTTGAAAACAAAACAGAAAACACCCAGCAATAAAAACTGAAAGTGTAAACTCAGAAAGTGGGTTGAACAGTAGAATGTATGGGATGAAGACAGTCCTAAAAAAAATTACAAAGAATGTAGCACAGAGAAACAAAGAGTTGATGAATGTAAAAGAATTAAGAAAGAAAGACTTTATAGAGTACGGTAGAGAAAACTGCAGAGTTGGATGAAATGAAAAATAAAGAGCTTTTACTGCAAAGAAGGACAATTTGCAAATTGGGAATCACAAAGTCCCAAAGATTCTAAACTAAGTGATGCAAGGAGGAAATAGTCCTGAGAGTTAATATAAGAGTATATGAAGGGGTTTCCAAAATGTTTGTGGAAAAATTCCATTATCTTTTAACCCTATTTTTCCATGGATATTTTGAAGCCCCTCCTATAAGGAAATTCAGTAAAAACAATTCATTGATTGGTTGACATTTAGTTAATAGTTGAGGTACATGGATTGGTGGGAGACTGCATGTTTCTAGAGTAATTTTTAAGAAGTTACAAGGTAATCCTTGAATTCGGTACCTCTGTATCTCCATACAGTCAGGACAGAGAAGACAGGCCCAATTCTAAAATTGATTTTGAGTAAGGAGCTGTTCTGAGAATTGTTTTTGACCCAGCTTCCTATGCAGCAAGCAAAACTTTTAGGTAAGCAACTGAGAATTGTCGTCTGAAATTATTACTCAGGGCACAGTGGAGAGTTACAGGAATGACAGTTACAGAAAAAGCACAGATTGCTTTTCATTTAAATCGTTGTTCTGGCCTCCAGAGCCACCATGTCATTCCAGACTCTTAATTTTGGGTGCTCGAACTCAGGAAGGAATCCTGGTGGCATTGGACTACTAACCAAAAGGTCTGGGGTTCAAGCCTACCAGCTGCTCTGGGGAAAAAAGATGAGGAAACCTACAACCATAAAGATTTGTTACTGTTAAGTGCTGTCGAGTCGGTCTGACACACAGCGACCCTATATAGGGTTTCTAAGGCGCAGGTGGTGGGTTTGATTTGCTGACCTTGCAATTAGCAGTCCAGAGCTCCATTGTAAGAATCCATAAAGATTTACAGCACCGGAAACCCTACAGAGCAGATGTACTCTGTCCTATAGGATTTCTATGGGTCAGAAAAGGCAGTGGGTTTGGTTGGGGTTCTTACTCAGGAAAGGTGCAATACAGTTGTAATGAAAAATTTTGAAGAGAATATAAAAAAAAGAACAAATGAAAGGCAATAGTAGATTTCCCCCAAATTATGAAAACAGCTTCAGGAAGCACAAATGTCAAGCAAGGTATACAAAAAGAAATCAAGACCTAGACAAACTAGAAGGTAACCCATAACAGAAGAGATTGATAAAGTGGCCATATTTCAAAATAATAAACATCTGAATATCAAAAGACTTATAGAGGGAAAATTTAAACTACAAATTGCAAGAAGTCATTTAAAGCAAGTATAACAATGGATTAGCAATAGAAAAACGGACAAAGGAAATAAATATACATTTTAAGGACTCACACATGGCTGATTAACATATGAAATGGTGTTCAATCTCATTAAGATCCATGGAATTGCAAATTTCACTCCCAAGAGACACTATTTCATAGCCATCACATATGCACAAATTTAGTCTAATAATATGCAATGTTCCTCAGCCTCAGACTGTGGACTCAGAAGGTACAGAGGAAATGGATGAGACTCTAGTAGAGAACAAAATAACTATTGTATGGGCAGTGTTAATGAGAATGCCTACAAGCCAAGGAAGCATTTTCTGAAAGGTCTACATCTACGGCTTTCATTTGTGTTGTTTGTCTCTAGAAGGCAAGACCTGATTTCTCCAGTGCCTGCCAGCGGATACCTGGTGATTGCCTGGTTGGTACAAGCTGCCATCCAGTGGACTCTAACTCACGGTGGTCTTATGTACAACAGTGTTGGGTTACCCAATAAGCAAGATAGATATGGACTTACTTGTCAACTTATTTACTAGTCTCTGCTCCCGTAGAGATTTACAGCCTCGGAAACCCTGTACAGGATCGCTATGAGTTGGAACCAACTCCACAGCACATCACCACCACCAGTGAATAATTTCAAGCTTTTCACTGAGTCAGTTCTGACTCAGTGACCTTGTTTCCGAGGAGCAGATGATGAGCTTGAACCTCTGACTTTGTGGTTAGCAATCCAGTGCTTATCCACCTGTGCTACATCAGGAACTCCTTCGTTAAATTCATTATTGCTTTATATGCATGTTTCACCATATATATGAGTATACTTTGCCAAGTGGATTTAGTAATGAGTGTTTGCTTATTATGTTGAGAGTAATTTCAGTATAATAGATACGAGGCTTTTAGTGACAACGAAGTCTAAGACAATTACACATAAATGATTTTAAGTTTACCTAACAGAGTTGGGAAGAAAGGACTGCAACTTTAGAGAAATATTTTAGTGAGAAATTTTTTTGTGTTGTTTAAATAAATGAGACTGTTGTACATTTAAAAAAAAAAAAAAAAGGGAGAAGATAATGATACAGGAAACAAAAGGATTAACTGACAGGGCTAGGTCCCTCAGCAGTCAAGGTGGTCTATACAATACAATGCTCATGATGCTCCTCTAATACAGTTTAGTTTCCTTATTACATCCCTTTTGTGCTCTACTCTTACCACAATGCCTTCCTTGTTCTTCCTTGAATATGCCAAGACAGGGTTGCTAAGAGATGGTACCAACTGGATGGCACTTGGCAACAACCAATTCCTATTATCAGTGGTGCTGCAGTGTAAGCACTGGACTGATAACCATAGGTTGGCAGTTCTCCAAGGGAAAAAGACAAGGCTTTCTGCTCCCATAAAGATTTACAGCCTCAGAAATCCTACACAGGGTCACTACACCCTTTCTCTGGAGTACACTTCAGCAGATGACAGCAGGCCTGCTTTTCAGACTGTTCAAGTCTTTGCTGAAATGTCAGTTCAATGAGCTCTCCTTTGCAATCCCCTCTGCACTCCCTACCCACCACTAGTTCTGGTACTCCTACGCCCTTTCTCTGCTTTACTGTTCTTCATAGCCATTAGACTCATATCATTCTAGAATTCCACTCATAATATTGTTATGAGGAGGCTTCAAAACATTCATGGGAAAATTCCATTCTCTTTTAATTCCATTTTTCACAAATGCTTTGAAGCCTCCTTCTACAGAAGCTCCAGGAATGCAGGAACTGTAACACCTGTGCCTAGCAATGGCTGCTTTTGTTAAGTGCCATGTTTCGGAGAAGCAGTTGGTAAGTTTGAACCCCCAAACTGAAGGTTCAAACTGACCTGTCAGTGAGTCCTTATCTTATAGCGGACCACAAGCCCAATATATACTGAATGAATGATGGTCTCTGCTTGAGGAAAATGAAGGCTAATGGAAATAATAACACTGTTGTTGTTAAGTGTCCCCGAGTTAATTCCGACTCATAGTGACCACACGTATGGTTTCTGAGGCTTTAAAACTTTGCCGTAGCAGAAAATCTCATCCTTCTCCTGCAAAGTAGTTGGTAAGCTCGAACTGCTGACCTTGTGGTTAGTTAGGTACGATCAAAATGAGGTAAAAACACCTACTGTGTACAAAAGAGGTGACGTTTTGATCTTGAATGTTGTTATGTACCGTGGAGTCGATTCTGACCCATAGCGACCCTGTAGAGGGTTTCCGAGGCGCAGCTAGTGAGCTTGAACCACTGACTTAGCAGTTCAAACGACTCTGCAGTCTGGCGCATTAACACAGCACCACACCAGGACTCCAAAATTCTCATTGGAGGGAGAGAAAAGTGTGAGTGCAGAAGAGGGATCAATAGTGAAAGCCAGATTGTTTAGTAGCTGACTCTCTCCATTTGCGTTTTTGAATGGGGCTGCATGTCCTTCTAAATTTTACTTGTTAAGAAGTTTTCAAAGTCGTCCTTTTGTTAATATCATTAACATTTTTGGAGGCTCTTGCTTTACACATCCAGAAGGAAAACCTTGAGGTTGAAATCTGTTCTAGAATTCTTGGGTCCAAGTAGTCAGTTCTGAAGACACTGAGTAACCACCACGAAACTTTGGAAATTCTGCGTCCTTGAAACATGCAAAGGGGCGAAGAGAGGGGCTGGTGCACAGGAGGGCGGGGCAGTGGTCAAGATCAGGTGTAAATCAGAGGGGGTGCTTGTCCCAGGAACCCAGAAGGGATGTGTGGGCCCTGCAGTGTAAATGGCTAGCAGGGGCGCGGCAACTCGGGAAGACTCACAATAATAGGCCACCACAGGGTCCCTCTTGTCATGCTCCTGCGCCGTCCTCAGATGATGCTGTATGCTCTTAAACTGGGGGGGCAGTGGGGGCAGCGGGGCAAGCGCGGCCATCTCCATATAATAAGTCACCACTTCCTGCTTGCGCGCCACCGACACTTCCGCTTCCGTCTGCGAAGTCGCGCGCACGAGCACGCATGGCAAATCTCATCCACTCTTTTATTACTAGGCGACCGAAAGTCTACTACGGGTTGCCAGTAGGGACAATCTCAATGTATTTCGCTCGTGGCAATTAAAGCCGAGAGAAAGCTTTCCGCCTTGGCGGTTCTGCTGCATAAGGCACCAGCGCTCTCTGCTGGTAGAAGAAGAGTGTATTGCTTTCCTCCATCACCTCCTTCGGATCCCCGCCACCACCAACCACTCACTTGTTGCACAAGCAAGTGTCAAAAGTGAAATAAAGAATGATGTCTGATATCTGGGCAATGGTGAAGGAGGGAATTACTTTTGGCGACACTCAGGAATGATCAGCGTTCACCGGATGATATTAATAGTGTTTTTAGGCTGCAAATCTTTGAGGGAGCAGAAAGCTTAATCTCTTTCCCCAGAGTACTTGGTGGGTTCGAACCTCCGACCTGTGGTTAGCAGACAAGTGCTCATCCCACAGAGCCACAGCGCTCCACAGTGCAGTCCAGTCGGTTCAGATTCATAGTGACCCTGTACAGAGTCCCTAAGGAGCAGCGGGTGGGCTTGAACTACCAACCTCGTGGTTCACAGTTCAGTACTGAGCGACCCTTTATAGGGTTTCGGAGGAGCTGCTGGTGGATTTGAGCCGCCGATGTATAGGTTAGCTTTGTTATTTGTTGGTAAGGGCCATCGCGTCAGTTCTGAGTCATAGTGACCCTGTATAGGGTTTCCAAGGAGCAGCTGCTGGGTTTGCACTGCCGAGCTGGTGATTCGGAGAGCAGTGCAGATTCTACAGCGCTACACCTATGCTCTGGGACTCCAGGACAGTGTTTCCTTGTTGTTGTTGTTAGGTGCCATCGAGTCTAGTTGGTACCGACTCATAGCGATCCTATGTACAGCAATTCTGGGCCAACCTCACCTTGGTGGTGGTGATGGTGGTGGTTATGTGCCGTGAAGTCGGTTCCTACTCATAGCGACCCTGTACAGGATTTCGGAGGCTGTAAATCTTTACAGGAGCAGAAAGCCTCATCTTTCTTCAGCGGAACAGCTGGTAGTTTCGAACTGCTGACCTTAAGGTTTGCAGCCCGATTCGTAACCACTACGCTACCAAAGCTCCTTAACCTCATTTTAGAAACATTAAATTCAATTCTTGTATGCGTTGAAAAAAGCGATACGTTTATAAACGTTTTCTGATATTGACATTTTGGTTTAAGCGTTTTCTAAGCTTAAACAGTAACCGCATTAACTTTAAAGGAAATAGAAAGCTTCTTCTGAACTGGCTGTATTTTAGCAAAATAATAATCTACTGATCTCTTTGTGTTGTTGTTGTTAAGTGCCATCGAGTCGGTTCCGACCCATAGCGATCCTGTATACGGTTTCCGAGGAGCAGCTGGTGAGCTTGAACTGCCGACTTTGCAGTTCAAATGGCTTTGCAGTCTGGCGCATTAATCCACAGCGCCAATCCAGACCTTCTTTGTGTAGTTGTTGTTAATTGTCTGGAGTCGGTTGCCACTCAGAGCAATCCTGGGAGTGGTTGGTGAGTTTGAACCACTGACCTTTCAGGCCAAACCGACCACATGGTTGTGTGCTTATTTTATAGAACCACATCAGGACACTTGTGTAGAGTGATCAACAATTTACAAGTTGGATTTTCTCCTGTGCTTTCACGTGGAGACATCACCAGTGATTTTCACAATTGTTAAGTTCAGAAATTCTTAATATAAAGTATAAATTGAACAACGCTATTGAGAAACTTAGTACTTGAGTATACTTAGCTCCCTATACAGGGTCACTATGGGTCAGAACCTACTCGATGGCACTTAACAACAACAACATCTCCCTAGTGGAGTCCTGGTCTAGCTCTGTTGTATAAGCACTGAACTGCAAAGTGGTTTGAACTGCAAGGTCAGTGTTTCAAACTCACCAGCTGCTCCTTGGAAACCCTATACAGGATTCCTATGAGTCAGAATTATCTAGACAGCACATAACAACAACAATTTCCTTATTAAGGCAAATAAGGATTCACAAAGGTATCAAATTACAATGCTTGCTAGTATGGAAGACAAAAAATAATGCATTGGATTTATACAAAATGTTTTTGAAATAATTTCATAATGTTGAGGAAGTCTAATTTAATATAAAGATAATTTTCCATTTTAATCTTGAATATAGAAGCTATAATCATAAGATATCTATGGGCATAGAGAATTCCTTATTTCAACAACGAACAAGGAAAGCAACACATATTTACTGTAACATTATTTATTTATTTGGTAGCTATATTTTCATATCATTTAATACTAAAATTTTAGAGGAACAGTATAAATGAGTAAAATATTAATAACATAATGGCTCCATTTCTCCAAATGAGTGATCCAATTGCAGAATGATTCTTTTAATAATTAATTCACAACTGTTGTGGTTTAGTTATATTTTTGAATAAACACAAAAACTGTTACATCCACAAAGTTAAAGCTGTGCGTGCAGTGGAAAGATAAATTATTTTATAGTCAGGAGATCTGAGATTAAGTTCTAGTTGAATGACTTTGGGCACAAAAATTAACCTCCTTGAGGGCTCAATTTTCCATTCTGTGAAAAAGAGATAAAAACATCTGTGGCCACAAAATGCTGTAATCAAGTAAGATGTTGTGATAAAACTCTTGTAAAAGTACAATTCAAACATGAGTTAACATTAGTTTCATGTATATATTCTAATGAAATAAATGACAAATGCAAAATAGAATGAAATGTTTGTTTTTTATTTTATATATATATATAACTTCGCATTAGATATAAATTTTATAGGCACACTAAGGTAAGGTTAAAAAAACAAGTGTTTATGTTTGAAATTGAGGTTCTCACAGAATAAGATGAAGCAAACAAAAAGCTATTGAGAAATAATTGTGCTATGTATGGTGGAGGTGATGGTTATGTGCCGTGGAGTCATTTCTGATTTGTAGTGACCCTGTACAGTGTTTCCGAGGTTGTAGATCTTTAAGGGAACCGAAAGTCTCATCTTTCTCCTGAGGAACAGCTGGTAGTTTCGAACTGCTGACCTGAGGTTAGCAGCCCGATTGGTAACCACTACGCCACCAGAGCTCCTTAATTGTGCTAACAGTAGGTAATCAAGTCTCTGTTGCTGTTTAGTGCTGTTGAGTCTGTGACTCTATATAGACAGGATTTCTAAGGAGTGACTGGTAGTTTTGAATCACTACCCATATGGTTAGCAGTCCAGTTCTTATCCTACAGTGCCACACCAGGACTCCAGTCAACTGTTTGGTTACTGTCACATTAGAAAGCATACTCTTCTAAATATGGTCTCAAAAACCTCAGCAACCCATAATACCATTGTCATTACAGTAAATAGTTACATGGCAATGAGATAAAATTTTCTCTTTTCAAAGTGTTCTGGAACCAAGCATTTTATGATATTATTTTTTTTTCCTTAGTGATTTAACATCACAATGTTAAAGAGGTCTTAGTTGGAAACCAAAGAGGTGAACTGAAGCCAAAGTGCTATCACCTCTAGACAAATTCTTAATAAAAGAGAAAGACATAAATCACATAGTAAGTGAGATTTTGAAGAATGCATTCTTGGTTGATGCTTTTACATGCAGTGTAAAGATGGGAAATAGCTCCAAGAACCAGAACAATCCCAAGTTGTAATGATTAGAACACCTAAAATATGTCAGAAGAGCCTACATTAATTAATCAACATGGAGCCAAACCTACAATAAAATAATTAACTCACTCTCAAGGAGGTTAACCTAAAATGTCTAATTTTAATAAGATGCTTACAAAATTTTTGCAAAATATTTTAATTTTATTATTATTTTACTAAAAAAGTAAAATTAATGCAATTAAGATAGCAATGCTGAACTGCTTTTTAGTACAAAACTTTATTACTAAAGTTTTAAAAACTTTAAACATAGTCATTTCCTACTAATTCTTAATAATGATGAATTGTTTTATTTTAATAGCGACTTAATTTTTATTTTCTAAATATTGTCTGGGTATAAAATTTTCACATGAACACTGGTGTTGGAAGATTTACTCTTGACCAACTCAAATTAATTTACCTGGACTATCTAGCTAATTGATCAAAGAGCACAGCCTTCAGTATGGATTACATCTCAATGTCAAGAAAACAAAAATACTCACCACTGGACCAATAAACAACATTCTTATCAATGGAAAAAAGATTGAAGTTGTCAAGGACTTCATTCTTTTTGGATCAGCTATCAACACTCAGCAAGTAGCAGTCAAGAAATCAAATGGTGTATTGCATTAGCCAAATCTGCTGCACAAGACCTTTTTAAAGCGTTGAAGAGCAAAGATGTCAGCTTGAGGACTAAGGTGCACCTGACCCAACCCATGGTATTTTCATAACCTCATATGCATGCGAAAGCTGGACAGTGAATAAGGAAGACCTGAGAAGAATTGATGCTTTTGAGTTATGGTGTTGGAGGAGAATATTGAAAGTGCTATGGACTGCCAAAAGAAACAATAAATCCATTTTGGAAAAAGGGCAACCAGAGTGCTCCTTAGAGGCCAAGAAGGCCAAACTTCGTCTCTAGTACTTCAGTCATATTGTCAGGAGGGACCAGTCACTAGAGAAGGATATCATGTTTGGTAAGGTGGAGGGTCAGAGAAACGGAGGAAGACCCCCCACCAGATGGATTAGCCAAGTGGCAGCATCAATGGACTCAAGCATGGCAACAGTAGTGAGGTTGGCCCAGGATCGGGCAGTGTTTCGTTCTGCTGTGCATAGGGTCGCTATGGGTCATTACCAACCCGATGGCACCTAACAACAACAACAACAATGAGATGAAGACAAGTAAACTTTTCTGCAGCTATCCACTGACCAAGTGTTATGTCTAAATACATTATATTTGGAATAAATCCATGAATGTATGAATTGAATTGTAGTAAAACTTTAAATTTTTTTTTT